ACTTTTTCCCTTTGATACGTTCAAAAACACTGGGATGTGGCCTAAAATCTTCTTCTCCATTGTCTATAACCAATTTGAATCTCGGCAACTTATTTTTGAAACCAGTCGTCACCATGTTCACCCCAAGTGGCTATGGGAAAAGATTTTCATCTATTGTCATTTTCTTCTTATCTTCGAACGTGATTCGCCCTGACTCGATAGCATCCTGTAATACATGACCAAAGATCCAACAATTATTAGTCATATGTGACCGTGCATTGTGTCATTGACAATATTTTTTACCCCGAGTCTCGTAATTTATGCTTATCGCTCAATTTTATATACTTATCCGTATACATTTTATCAAATATAAAGTCAGGTTCGGCCACATCAAATGAAATATTCTAGCTTTTTTATTTTCATCTTTTTTAGGCTCATTCTCCCTTAATTAATTCTGTCAAACATTAGTCACTTTGATCGTAATATTCATCGTTAATAGTATGAATGTCAAAATTTGGGTTTCTATAATAAGTTCATTTACTAAAGTTTTTCATTTGTTCTTCTTCTCTTATTAATCGTTCTTACCTAATCACATTCGCATTAAGTTGGAGAAGATTACCAAATTCTCTGTCTTGTAATTTCTTTTTCAAATCCAAGTTCAAACAATTTTGAGCGATTTTGACGAATTCTTTCTCGGGCAAAGGCACAAAACATTTGTTCCTCGTTGTGTTGAACTTTTGAAAGAAACCTTCTGCCCGTTCATTTGGTATTTGACATAAATTCGTCAAATCAGCCAAAGTGACTTCAGATTCGATCTTATAAAACTGATGTTGACATGTTTGAACAGAGTTTGTTGGCAAATTAATGAACCAAGAGAAAGCTACTCTTGTTAACGAACTAGGGAACAGCCTCATTTTATGATGTACCCTCTAGGCCACGGATATGTCTGATCTACCAAATTAGGATGTGGCTTTGTATAAGTCGGCCTAATAACAGGATACACCCCTAAAGCCATTTGATCATGTACTATTTCCATAATTTGATTCCTCAACATGACATTGTGATCATATGGAGCTCCGACAGGTTGGTTCATTTGTTGATTTACTTGAGGTCTAATATTTGATCCTTGGTTGGTGACAAAATTGCCATTGTTTGGGCCATATTACCGTTGCCTGAGTGTTTACTCCATCATTAACACGCGGGGTATTCTGTCCATTATTTAGGACATTGTCTCTTATAAACATATTGTCAATGTATATTTCCATCATTTTTCCTATATGCTCGGTGAAAATTTTGTTAACTAGTTTTTGGTACCTAGTCCACTCATTTTTTACCCCAAACAACATTTCCTTATAATGGTAACAATCCCCGATGTATTACGAATGCGGTATGTTCCTTGTCAAGTCCATACATAGGGATATGAATATATCCCGAATATGCATTCATGAACCTTATTAGCTCGTACCTTGTAGTCACATCCACCAACTGATCAATTCTGGAGGCGAGAAACTGTTTCAAGAAAAGCTTTATTCAGGTCCTTAAAATCTTGGCATGTTCGCTATTTTTTGTTACTTTTTGGTATCAAGATAGGATTACATACCCTTATGTGGTATTGAGTTTCGATGATAAAACTATTCTTTAATAACTTACCTAGTCAATGACCAACGTTTTTATATCTTGGGTTTGATCTTTGGATCGATACGTGACTCGTAACTTTGGAATCTATTACCACCATGTCAGGGTACTTCCAGGCGAACGCATCTAGGTTCACGGCTAGAAATTCTTTTAGTAATCCTTTCATGGCTTCGCATACGTGACTCGTAACTTTGGAATCTATTACCACCATGTCAGGTTACTTCCAGGCGAACGCATCAAGTTTCACGGCTAGAAATTCTTTTAGTTATCCTTTCTTGGCTTCGCGCAATTCCTTGCCAATTTTCATAGCTTGCTCTTATCTTCTATGCTAACAGAAAAAATTCTGATCTTCAACCATAGTCGCTTCTGACATTTAATTAGTTATGTGGGGTCAACAGAGTCATTAATCTTCATTTGTCCCCAGGATTACCCCTGTCCACTATGGCAATGATATTCTTAGGAGCTCTTATTAGTAGAACATCTCACATGAGATTGACAAAGGCAAATGATTATACTTGCTTGTTTCATGTGATCCTTCCGAGGATTCCATCGTACGTGAATTTATCCTTAACAATGTTGAAATTCACGTATCCTTGGTATGCCCAAGTCACAGCTACCATCTTTACTAATAGAGTGGCCTATCTACAAAAGATTGGGCCTCATCAGGTGAAGTGGTGAGGCTCCGACCCAAGGATCCAAGAAATTATACTTCTGCATTTGATCAAACACCATTTTGTGCATTACATTTTCAGTGTTTTCATTGTCTAGGAGTATGCGGTGAAAATATTTTCCTGCTATTACAGCCGGAATCACGACCACGTCATCCTTGATTCCTGAAATTTTCATTCTAGGCTCTATTGATTTAATTGAATAAGTCAATGATTGTGGATTACCTGTGCGCTTATCTTTCCTAGTATGTTTATTTTACAGGTGTTGTATCTTTGCGCACATGGTACTACATTCTGCCAATAGCATTTTGAGATCCTTTGTAATCCTCTAGATAGCCTCTACTGTTGAGGTTGCCTCTGCATTGGAAAGGACAATGTTGATCACATATTTCTCATTGTCTAGTGCTCTGGCTGATACTAGGCCCTCTTTTGCTTGGCTCATTCCTTCAAATCTCAATTTTTTTCGACCCGAGTGTAGAATTTCACGGCTTGCTTTGCTCAGCTTCTTACAGAAAATGCCAATTTGTTAATGATAAAAATCGGATAAAAAACCCTCTCACCTAACGATGACTTTCACCTCCTAAGCTCTTTAGTTTCAATGCTCAAACTAGGAGCAAGAAAGAAAATAACTATTTGAGAGTAAAATATATGAAGTGCATACTTTTCTCTTTAAAGGAGGGGATATTTATAGATTTTCCTTCAAGGTTTTGGGGTAGTTCGGTCAATTTAAAAAAAAAATGACGGGGTGGAGGTTTTTCATTGACTAATTTATAACAGATTCCGCTTTTACGTTCTGTTAATTAATGTTTGTGTCATGTGTTAGCCCTGACTTCCGACACGATAATGTTGAGAATGTAAATAATGGATTTGATTTGAATAACTCAATTGATGTTTGCTTCTCATTTAGATAATATAGTTACCTCTTATGAATAAGCTAAATTATAATCAAATTTCCTATACTAGGAATGATATAATTATGTACAACAAAATCTCCTAAATTAGGAAATACAGTCAAATCTTCTATATTAGAAAATAGAACATATTTAGACAATTCATTGACACGCCCTCAAAGTGATCAAGAAGTATCAGTTTAGTGACAATGTGAGAAAGAGAAATCTCATGACAACAAACGCTTCGCTAAGAAAATGATAATATACCTCAATGTGCTTATTACGCTAAATTTTTTTTGAATTACTAGCAATCAAAATATCACACACGTTATAAGCATGAATAGGAGTAGTAAAAAGTTATGGAACCCCATTTTCCTTGAAGAAGGCCTGGAACTGTGCAATTTCAAAATAGGTGAACGACAAAGCACGATATTTAAACTCAATGGAAGGCTTTGAGACGCGAACATGCTCCTTTTTTTTTTTTTTTACAAAAAATAAGTACACCACCAAAACTTGTACCGAACACATGATAGAATGATGAGTCTCAGCACAACCACTCCAATTGTATAGAAGTTCCAAAAGAAAATAACAAATCGCGGTCAGAAGTACCTTTGAGATAGCGATGAAGACGATAGTCAATAGCTAAGTGGGTCTGCCAAGGAGATTGCATAAATTGACTGATTTATTGAAAAGTAAAAGAGAGAACAGATCTATTAATTGTCAGATAATTTGAGTTTCACACCAGTAGCCGATACATCAAGGGATCATATGGGGGCATCACCACCCTCTTGGCGCAACTTTAAATTGTCCATCATATGTGTATTTGTATGTTCTCTAATGTTCCTCTTCTTAATGATTAGGAGGAGTCTTATTTATAGACCCATATTCTGGCCCATGTGATTGCATGGGCCTGAGTCGCCCGACCAGTGTCGGTTCGTTTGCCTCATTGTCCATGTCGTTTGATGTTCTATGATCACAACTAAATGGGGCATTGTGATTGCAATAACTTATGTAGTTTCAAATCGTGATATTAGGTCCCCGAACCTGCTTTATCGTTCAGCCCAAGTCCTTCGACATTTCTTTTGAAGTCTTTGAACTTTCAAACTTGATATCTTAATCCTTAGATTTTGGACTTTTGTCCATTTTCGATCCTTTTTTGACCAGTTTTTGTTCATTTCGTCCGTTTCTCGTAGGATATCTAATTTTTTACTTAGATAATCAATAAACACTCTAAATTAAGTACTAGATCAGACAATTACTCTCAAACAATACTTTTGGTAGCCCAAATAAGTGTAATATTTACATTTATTACTCCTCACCACATCTTAACACAAAACAAAACTCACCGAATTTCGTGTTTTCAAAAAAAAAAATGTATGATAATTTTCACACTTACTGTCACTAGTGAAAATTTTGGTTAAGGCCTAAGGATAACTCGTTCGTTTATAATTATTATTTGATTTGTAGAGTTCTTTTTATTTTTCGGCTAGTGAAACCAATACTAAAAAGAAAAAACGCGATTCTCCCCTCTTTTAACATCATTTGTATAAAGAAGTCCCTACTTATTTATGTGTTGCAAGGGTGCGTACTAGCCTACTAGGAAGAGATAGAGATGAATTAATTAAAATATACAGAAAAAAAACCCAAATTCATACCATTTCAGAAATTAATAAAATATGCTTGTTGTCCCTTCTAAACCTAAAATTTAAGCATGCAAACATGGTAAGAAAATAATAGGTACATGAACTGGTGTAATATAAAACCAAGTAGAGACAAATACTAAAGGGTAAACCAACATCATCAGAATATTTGGATCGAATTGGTTGTTTTAGTCGCGACTGCACGTTAAACACGAAAATATCTTCTTCGCTATGGCCTTCGAATCGTGTTTTTTCTTAGGTGGATTTGCAAGGATAACAATGCTGGATTCATCAGCTCCATTTATCCTAGCATGATCACAGTCATCCTTAAACTTCTGAAATGCGTTTTCCATATAATCAACAGCCTCAACAACTTTCATGTCTTTCACTATTTGGTGAGGATAAATGTCCTTTGTATGGTCACCGTTCAACACTGCACACATTTGCACCAGCTCTTGTTGGAAATCAGTTAGTTGTGCATCTTCATTTGGTTCAGTGTGCCTCATTTTAACCGGTTCCGCCAGAGTTACTGCAAACACTTAGTGCTGATAATATTAGAGACAAAGGAAGATCAACCACAAAATTATTTTCATTCTTGTATCTTCGCAAAGGGCACCATGAGGTCACCCACTAGAGTCGAAGTGTCAAAATGAGACAAATCCTAGGCTAGACTTCGCACAATTTGTCCCGAGGATAGAACTCGAGCAAAAAAAATAAAATTGAAAACCCATAAACCAGTCTAGGCAAGCCTAAACGCTAAAAGAAAGGATCCTACTGGGGCTATGGCGAGTTGTAATTCTTTCTACACTAGATAGAGCAATTTTTTTCTCAAGAAGGCAACAAGAATTCGTTGGATTTGGATTTTTTCGAATTTATTTTTTGATTGCATGGTATAAGTATATGCATTTAGATAATTAAGTGGAAAAACAGAAGATAAGTACGTAAATTATAATTTACCGGGACAATCCGTTCTTGGAGTAGTCCTGTTTATGACGGTTTCAAATGTGCCTGCCCATGCATCTCGCTTTGTCAAGAACGCTTCCAGGTTGAAAATCTTCTTCAGAGTTGCTGGAATTGAGGAATGCTCAAATTCTGAAGTAGGGTATGGTCCAGAAGGCCTATTTAACACTGCATTTTCATCACCAACATCAATTAAATAAGCAATTTTCAACCTCGACAATAACCCTAAAATCTTAACGGCATGTTTTGTATACTTGACTAGAGAAGACGAGAAAGAGCAACTAATTGTTAGAATTCCAATTCAGTTCAACAAATCAAGCATTGCTCTATTGTTGATAACATATCGACGTGTTTGCTATACTGAACTTGATGGGATTAGAGGAAACAACTTAATCATGTAATCCAATTCAGTCAAGCACTCCAAAACATGCCATACAAGTCATGCACAAAATACACAATGCTTACCTGTTCCAGGTTCAATCCAAGGAGATATCAAAATTGCCGGAACCCTAACACCAAGGCGGTCGAACTTAAACTTATATGGTTCAGGGCCGACAATGTCATCGGGACTAGGAACTCCTTCAATCGGTATAGGAACATGATCATAAAAACCACCATGTTCATCATATATGATGAGGAAGAGGATTTCATTCCACTGGGGACTTGATCTTAGCGCTTCATAGACTTGTTTCACAAATTTTTGTCCTTCAGATATATCATGAGGAGGGTGATCATCATTTCCTTCAAACAATTTAGTACCGAAATATCTTTGTTCAATTACTACATAGTTTGGTAGTTTTCCCTCCTCGCAGTGCCTCTTGAAACGAAGATCAAATTGATGGAAATTATCCATGTACTTCAATTTTCTGAGATTTCTGTCCAAAAACAATAAAGTTGAGGTTATAATTTGTCAAAAAGAAAGTAACGTTTTGAACTGGCAGTCATTGGAGTCAATATTGGTACTACTACTATAGTATATCCTGCAGGAAAAAAAATAAAAATAAAAATAAATTTAAAGCCCCTGTTCAGTAATTGATAAGCATTAGGAGTTAGGACCCTGAAACCCCCTGTATTCTTCCATTTTAACAGTTTGACAATGTTATTTTGGATATGAAGATTAATATTCCTATTTTGTTTAATAATATCTCATGAGTAGAATCAAATGCGGCCTCCCGTACTGCTCGATAATATATCCATTTTGAATGCAAACATGCATTAAATCACAAGAAAATTCAATTGAATCATGCAAAGTATAGACAATTATCCCTAACGTCTATAAGACCTTACAATGATTGCTACTTGTGTAAAATTCATATTTCTTCTCCTGAATTTCAGTCAATAGAAATCATAAATATATTGTTAATCACCAGTTAATTAGCTTTTTGATTAAACTCCTAATAATCATTCAAACCCAACAAACATTTAAGCTGTCAAAATTCGGAATTTAAGATTAAAACTTACTAACATAGGATTCAACGTTATCCTAACAATATGTTCAAAGTTATCCTGACAATATGTTCAAAGTTATCCTGACAACTACACAGCTAACCAATCATCATAATAATACAAGAATACGATTTAAATAGATACAACATCATTCAAAATTGAAAGTTGGGAAGAAAAATGGAAACGGTATTGAATCTTGAATCCCTTCAATAATTCTTAATCAATCCCCTTAATATGTTCTCCTTCTTCAACCCAAGCAAAGATGTATGAAAATTATGAATGAGTGAGTTTAGCATCACAAGCTTCTTCAAAGCTTTGCAAAGAATATGAATTTTCTATCAATGGCTCCCTTCGAATCTATGGAATATGCATTTTTTAATGAACAAGAGCCTCCTTGCTTCTCTCCTTGATGTGTAGATGAATATACGTATTTATAGGCTAAGAATTAAGTCAAAATTCGTGCCCCACTTGCTTTCCAAGAAAATGTAACAAGGAAACTAAATGCTTTCTGCCTGGAACGCCCGAGACAAATGGCCTGCGATCCAACATGTAAACAATTAAAGTTGCATGTGCGGTTTCGCTAGCCTCCGAATTTTCGCCAACTTCAAGTTGGTCCCTAACTTCTTCTCTTGGTTCGACTTGAGTCCCTTCCTAATTGCATCTTTAGTCCTTTTTTAAATCTTCATGATTTTGATCATCGTTTATCTGATGCAAGTTTCAAAAATTTGCAATCAGGTCCCTTAACTTTTTAAATGTTGGATTTAACTCTTGAAATTTGTGAATCTCTTCCAATTTCTCCATTAATGCTTCAAATGATTATATGCGATCTGATTGATCATCGATTGCTTTAAATTAATTCCAATTAAGCTTCAATTACACCTTTTTCATGTCAATTTCTCCCAAATGCATTCAAATTGACTTTTACATACAATTAACATTTTTTTTTAAATTTAAGCTCAATTAACAATAAATAATTAAGTATAGATTACACTTTATCACCCACCACTACCACCTTCATCTCAAACAACCAACCCAACCATTTCCATCTTCAACCCGTCAATCGCTTTCCAGCTTTCCCCTACCACCTATCGTATAGAGCAAAATGGTAAAATCAAAAGGAACATAGGCAAATGGTTGAGAATTGACAGGAACAACGGTGCGTCAACACGACTAAGGCTATAAAGGAATAACAGTGAATGATGGAGACTTTCGACGGTTGAGTGAAGCTATTGAATAGATGAATTCAATCATGCCAACTCCGATGAGCTTCCATCATCAGCTTTGGCCAAGCTACTGTAACTGCAGGGGCGGAACTAGGATTAAAGAATTGTGGGGGGCAAATTTCACAAAATTTTAATTGTTGGGGCAAAATTGAAAACTATAAGGAATTTTTTGACAATCTTATTCAAAATTTTGAAAAATCTTAGTTTAAGATCCGCACGAGTGTAAGAAGAGATTGAGAGGATTTGCGCAAGTAGATTTGAGGGTTTTGAGAATTCAATCAATTGATAGAAAATTGAAAGAAATTGTTCTGCCCAATAGACTTTAATGGTTAGGGTATTCAGGATCTGGGATGGTGGAGAGGGGTTGACAGTATGAAGATGGAAGTGGCGGCATTGGATGTTGATGATAGAGGTCAGATTGCGGCGGGATGAGGGAGTGGGAGTGGGTGGTGTCCTGCTAAGGATGGAAGTGGAGGCGATGGCAAGAATGGGGAATGGGTGGATGGAGGTAGGTGGAGAAGATCTATATACCATTTTCTTTGTGTTGTGTAAATTTTTTTGTTTATTAATTATTTTCTTATATTAATTATTTTAGTTGAAGATTCTTTTGCTTTTAAAAAATTGATAAAATTAAGATCAAATTTTTGACTTTGGTAAATTAACGATCATTTGAACAAAGACCGTCCAGCAGTTCTTCGTATGTACATTTGTTCAAAGATTTAGGATGTAACTACTATAATTTAAAAATTTATGATCGCATCGTATGTTTTTGAAAAACCAGAAATTTGCGTTACGAATTTCCCAAAAATCGATTCATATTCACGTGGTCAAAGTTATATTCCGCCACCAAAGACTAGAAAAATGAATAAAAGTAAAAGCCAGCCAATAGGCCATGATTGATGGTGCTGGCTTTGAATAGTACAATAATTTTCATCAAGCATCATAGTTAATAAATAAATTAAAAAAACATGTTTCTTAAATTTTTAATTGCCCTGACAGCTAGTTAGTGGACCCTAAATAAAAAGATGTTTCTTTTAAGAATAAATGCTATTCATACTAAGAAATATGGATAATCGTTTTACGTGATATACATGTGATATTTTTGTTATGATAATTTTTTTATTATCATATATATCAAATAACAAATTGTTACATGTATACCCGTATAACGATATTGATAGTTCTCACTATAAATATCGTTACTCTTATTTTAATACAGCTAATTAGTGGACCGCTTTATTCTCATAATTAATTATAAAGAATTGATGAATGTATTATTAAAGTTAGAACTAACTACGAATTTTAAGTGAGGTGAGCCGTGGCTGCTAGTTGAATCATGAAAACTTCGTGCCAGTTGCTCGTTGGCTCACAAGATTTCACTCGTGAGCAGGACAAGCTAATTGATGTGAGCAAGCCGACTCGTAATCAATCAGTGAAAATGCAAATTTTAGAAAAAAAATGATTCGGGAGTTGAGTTGAAATTATTTTAAAATGAAACTAGCTAGCACTCGACTCGTCCCATGTGTGAGCGCGAGTTGGACTGATCTCGACAATGGGTTGAGCGACTCAACTTGGCTCAACCAATTTAAAATGTAGCTCTTGTTTAGTGCACATTTTGAAGGTAAGAATGCATTTTTACTGTGGATGTGATGGGAAATATGTGGTTGAAAAAGAAGGAAAAGTTATTGATGTGATGGAAAATATTATTTTATTGAAGAATGTGTGGTTGAAAATGAGTAGAAGAATGATAATAAAAAAAAATAATATAGACCAAACAGGGCCGTAGACTGAAAAATGAATATTGAAGGTAATAAAATGTAATTGAAAATAAAGTTTTACTAATTTATATCCCAAAAAAAACTTTGTCAAACAAGGGCCTTAGTTTTTTACGCTCTGGAGCTATTCACAGGGGCTTAATCACACTTGACTAAACAATTTTCAATAATGCTACGCTTACAGAAGTTTCATCACAGAAGTCATACAAAAATTCAAAAAAGCTAGCGTGGCACTGATGCATTAATTGTTTCCTGACAGTTTTATATTCCTTGTTTGACGAGTGGTCCATTTCGTTACGATTGACCGTTTCGCAAGCCGTTAAGGATGGTAAAAACTAGGTCGTGAACACTTTAAAATGGTATTAAAAATGCGAGATTTCGATTTCATTTGACATCTTGAAATAATTCCGAAATTTGAGATAAAAATAAGAAAAAACATTTATATATTTTGGAACGGCGCCTATTTCGACTAATGGTCACTTTTTCTACGGTTGGCCGTTTCGAACGGGGTAAAATGTACGATAAATTAGGCCGTGAACACTTCGAATTGGTGTTAAGGATGCAATATTTCGATTTCGTTTAACATTTCCATAATAATTACGAAATTTGAGACATAAATAAGGAAAAATGGGCAAGGGGTGACTTCTGTGACAAAACTTATGTGCCACGCCAGCTTTTTTGAATTTATATATGACTTCTGTGATAAAACTTCTGTACGCGTAGCATTATTGAACAATTTTACTTCTCTCGATTGTCTCCCAAATCCAAATCATATCCTAAAAATGACGTGGGCAAGATTTGAAATGTTAATTATTGCTAATTCTGTGCAATTATNCCGACCCGGACAACCCGGATTGACACCTCTACGGCATTCTCTTTGTGTTGTGTAAATTTTTTTGTTTATTAATTATTTTAATTGAAGATTTTTTTGCTTTTTAAAAATTGATAAAATTAAGATTTTTGACTTTGGTAAATTAAGGATCATTTGAACAAAGACCGTCCAGCAGTTCTTCGTATGTACATTTGTTCAAAGATTTAGGATGTAACTACTATAATTTAAAAATTTATGATCGCATCGTATGTTTTTGAAAAACCAGAAATTTACGTTACGAATTTCCCTTTAAAAATCGATTCATATTCAGGTGGTCAAAGTTATATTACGCCACCAAAGACTAGAAAAATGAATAAAAGTAAAAGCCAGCCAATAGGCCATGATTGATGGTGCTGGCTTTGAATAGTACAATAATTTTCATCAAGCATTAGAGTTAATAAATAAATTAAAAAAACATGTTTCTTAAATTTTTAATTGCCCTGACAGCTAGTTAGTGGACCCAATTTCTGTACGGGTAGCATTATTGAACAATTTTACTTCTCTCAATTGTCTCCCAAATCCAAATCATATCCTAAAAATGACGTGGGCAAGATTTGAAATGTTAATTATTGCTAATTCTGTGCAATTATTCAAAAGCACTGTCATTTAAATCCACCTCATCGAAGAGAGCTTCAAAAAAGTCAAAAAGCCCGATTTTCATAACTTCTCTCTTTTCATCCTTTGACAACCCGTCGTTTTACAGTACGAAGTTACCCGATGTTCGCTAAGACTAATAAGGGCAGAAAGATGTTAACCTTTCACAATTAGCAAGCTAATTTTGAGCTAACGAGCTTTAGCGAGTCGAGCCAAAGTCTAGACAATCTCTTTTCTCTATATCTCGTCTTCAGTTCGAAAACTTGCCCACAAATGGGTTCAATCTAGACAACCACTAAAAACTTCATCAGGCAAATCAGCTATCCCGACTCACTTTATTCGACCACTAATCGGATTCCAAACTAGCTTGATGAGAGAGTTTGAACTCTGACGTCTTAATAATTTGACCAGTTGAAATTATAATGCATAAAAAGGAAAAATAAAAATCAACAGCTCAATAAAATATTCAACGCATCTGAATAGTCAAGTGGGAATTGAAGATGATACCTGTAGAAGAGTGTTGAAGGAGGTAACTGATAATAAACTCCAAAAGAAAAACCATTTTCTTCAATTGATTCGAAAATTGTCTTCTGTGGGTACCCTTGAACAAGCATTTTTGTATCATTAGCTGTGGCGCCATAGGAAGTTGAAGAGTGTATAAACAACCGATTTGGTTGCGTCAATGTCGGAACTGAAGAAAACCACCGATCACACACAGCAAATTCAGTCACCAATTCTTTGTAAACAGGTACAGATTCTGGTTTAAATCCATTCATTACTATATCTGCCATCCCTTTCTGTATACTTTCTGCTTGCTGGGCAAATCCTTCCATTGTCGGAGGGGGATTTTGGGACTCCTCCCATTGCACACCATATATTTGTTCATATGTCGCTTCGAATGAGTGACCCGGGTCTGGTTCGACGTAGCCTGATCGATTGCCAAAGTGAATTCGGGTTGAGTTTGGATCGGATGTGGATAAAGGGTTGGATTCGTTGCCCGTCACGCCATCGATTTCGGGGTTAAGGGACTTCATCCATCCAAGCACGTGATCAAATGATCGATTTTCTTGGACTAAAACTACCACAGTTTTGATGGGAGATTTTGCGGTGTTTTCAGACATTTTTGCTGATTTCCAGTGAACTGAGAGAGAGAAAGAGATTGATTTTGTGGCGAAGATTGAAAATAATTAGGCTTTAACAACTCCAAGTTGCAGTCTTTTCCTGTTGATCGTAAAAATAAAATGATTATACGACATAAAATATATAAATATACGACTCATGCAAGACAAGCACCGGTGCAGAGGAGGAATATATATCGAGGAAAAGTCACGAGTGATTATAATTTATTATGGGCAAGTGTTCCCTTCTGAATTTGTTCACATACACCACTTGTAATAAAATTTTGACTCTCTTTCCAAAATGGCAACTACCCAATTCGATTTTAAGTAAATACTCAATATCCAAGTAAAGCAAAATTTGAATAATTTTTGATATAATTCAACGTTAAAAATTTATTAGTGAAATCCGTCGACTTTAAAAATTGTGCGGGTTCAAGTTTATGTATCCCCAAGAGCCTATTTGACTTCCCACGAAATAGTTTGAGACGTTAATGTATTACACTATCTAGACGTAGTAAACTTTGCGTAAACATGGTGGGGACGGATTTTTACCATCAAAGTTTTCAAAGAGAGTACTTTCGATAACTAAACGGGTAGTAGAAAAGAGGGATTCTAGTTTTAAGATATGTAAATCTTGAATAATAAAGGTTTGAAGAATTTGGAGTTTGTTATTTTGTATGGTTGGGAAATGTTAATCGTTTTTAGTGTGTTGTAGTTGATTTTTTTAAAATATTCTTGCCAATTGGTTTAGTTGATAGAATTTTGAACGGTTGTGCTATATGTAAATTACAACTTATAGATTTGTCTATCAACAATGATATTAAAAGATTTGACTAATTCAAAATCTCACCAACCAAATAAAAAAGAAAATCTCCGGATTTCTTTTTACCATTAACCCACATTACATAAATATTATCGTTTAAGTGGTGAAGTAAAGACAGTTTTGATTTAATTTATCATCACATCATCAATCCGTAAAAGAATATGTAAATTGTATTGAAAAATAAGCATTTTATATAGAAGCACGAAGTCATATGAATAGTTGAGCAAGTTAATCCATCCATCTGCCAATTCACGAGTATCTATCTCAGCAACCTGAACAAATATGTTTCCGTAATCTTTACGCAGAATCTATGTGATACTAAACTAAAATGCGTGGCATATTTTGTTTTTGGATTAATAATAATAATAATAATAATATTCTATGGCCTTTGATGGTAGAATCATGCTACAATAATACGATGGTTGATATAATTCTTGACATAATATCACGTGATATCTTATTATTGGACTGTTTAAAATACAGTCAACTTTTACATTCAATCATATCTTGTTAATACTTATTATGTCAAAGCATTTGTCAACGTTTTTCTATCAAAGTGGCAAAATCCTTGATGGTATACTTACTTTTCCATTGAGTAATACTGAAATGATTTAGTAATGGAATTCTTGTGAATCTAATATATAGGTGAATTCTTGTGAATCTAATATATGTTGAATCTTGATGCGTCGCTACAAAAAAAACAATAGTTTTTGTAACGATCAAGCCTCATGTCCAAGTTGTTATATCATATTTACTATCTGCTTTGAGAGAGCACTTTGCTCAATTGGTACCAATATTCAATATAAGTTTCTTCCAAACCGGATTGCACGTATTGAATTTGAATTTGAATTTTTAGGGGATGCAATAGAAATTCGCAAGAGGTAGGATTGACTCAATTTCTTCCAAAGCGAATAGCACGAATGATATAAAGACTTTTTTACGAGGTCCAGGTCATTACAGCTTTGCTGAGAATTGATTCTTGGATTATTTCATTTGTTCACAAGTGTGTCTAAAGTAGCTACTGCCATAGCTGCTATTAAAAGAACAACATTTTATAATAAAATTCTTCCATCTTGTGATGTGAAGTAAATATATGCTGTTTAAAACAAACACCCCTTCGCCAGACTCAACTCATGTTTTGTACATCGCAATTAATTTAATTGTAGAATATACCAAGAGCTCTTTTCATTTTAAGATGGGAAAGTGATCCCAGAGAGAGATACCATATTTATCAACAACAGCAGTAAGTATTTATAGGGTTGGGACTTGATAGAATTTTCAGATTTAAAGCTGAAATATTTCAAAAGTGGAGCTAAGTAAATAAAGTAATAAAAGAACATTATGATTATGAACTATGAAGACATATAATGCAAAGGAAAATCCTATGTGTACACCTTGTGGTGTACACAAAGTTTTACATCCCCTCACATTGAAGGGGACCCACAAATATTTTATTGTGTGCGGGCCCCCCTCCATGTGAGTGGGGTGTAAAACTTTGTGTACTCCATTATATACACATAGCACAACCCATAATGCCAATTTCCATTGCAATTCAAACAAGAATATTGCTATATGTACATAGCAATATACATAAGGGTGTACATAATGTGAGAGGGGTGGGGCCCGCACTACCCTCTCACATTATGTATACCCCGATGTACCATGCTATGTACACATTGCATGGTCCTTCAAACAAATCTATTTCTTTGGCAAAACTTTCTATACAAAATGTTTAGTTTAACCTATACTTTAACGTACTCTTTTAGTTGGTTCAGTCGCCTATTACATAATCAAAGTGAGTCCTCGTACTTTATCTGTTTCTTGAAGAAGAAATTACTTTCAAGACTTTTCAGTCGAACAAGTACAACTCTGTCACATAGGTCTAAATATGAATAGAACATCCTACAACATCACAAAATTTAAACTCCTAAATATTGTGGTCAATTACTAACTTACCTACTCAAGTGTCTCCATTTGTGGATTAATTTTTTAAGTCATTGACACATTTTGATCCCAACAAGAACCATTTCATATCCACTAATAAATGACAAATTCTGTTTCAATTTCCACTCAATCCCATATTAGGAGGCTTCACAAGTATCAAACTCAAAGATTACATATTTCTTTCCTATTGTGCTAAACATGATTAGATCAAAGACTTTAGAGGAAAAGTTGGTGTAAATAACTTTACATTAGGTGTATGTTCAATGTGGGATTATAGAATTCTTGCCTTTGTTATGAACTGTGAATAAGAATCTGCCAGTGGATATGGATCTTCTCATTGCAACAGGGCTTCTCATTAATTCCCAATCTCTACTATTATTATTAGTATTGTTCTTGCTTTCTTCTTCCAACACTCTTCTTGAGGAACTTTCCATTTGTAATCCTTCATATGCTTCTTCAATTCTCAGAATATCAGCAATCATAAGCTGGCGTTGGCTCGAAAATGTACCCGAAGAAATTGATCTTCTAAATTTCTTAACATCGTCCTCTTTGGGAGTTCCGATAATGTCGTTTCTTGTTTCAGAATCTTGTGTTGTGCTAATATTTTGTAAGGGGCTCTTCGGTCGAACATCATCATCACTAACAAGGGTTAAAACCACCTCTTCCGAACGATCCCTTTCGTGATCATCTACCACGAAAATCAAATCATCTGGCCTCTGAACTTCGAGAGAAGCTAGGTTGACGGTCGATGGAGTTTGAGAACTTGGGGCAGGTGGAGGCGACGGATAGGTTAAATTAACATCAACGCGACAAAGAGGACAATTTGCATGAGATTTCAACCATGTATCAATACAAGGAAGGTGAAAAGCATGGATACACTTTGGCAATAGCCTAAGAGACTCATTTTCCTCAAATTCACTCAAACAAACTGCACATTCAGTCCCTTCAATTAGCCCATCACCTTTCTTGTACTTACAAACTGTGATGGTCTTGATAAGTGCCTCATCCAATCCAGTCGAGGCAACGGCCCACTGGTCACGAGTTGTTCCATCAAGACTTTCTCCGGGTTCTATACTCGTGTTCGGATCATTTCTTCTCCTGCAATACCGTTTGACTATCGTATAGTAGCTTACTAGAAGGAAAGCAATTGCCAGGATGCCTATGATGGCTATGATTAGTGGGGAGAAAGGGGTACCGGAATCATCATCTACCGGAGGAGGAGGGAAGTTTAAGTAACACCATTGTGGACAATATATACTGCAAATTCCTTGCGAACACCCCTTAGAACTATCATAAGGAGGCCAAAGATTTTGAGTCCCAACAGAACTCATGTCCAAAATCTTACTCTTCAGTAAAATCTGCCAAAAACTATGTATGACAAGTACCTCTCCGTAGTAACATTGCAAGAAGAATTGTCTTTGTGCATTTAAATGATCTGATTGGTTGGATACGTCTAGAGAATGAGGTTAGAGGAGACTTGAGGTCCAAAGAGACTAAATATGAGTTGATCTAGACTTGAGATTTGATAGACCTCGTGGTCAACAACCCTATAGGCAGATAAGATTTCTTCTGATTGATGGTGGAGAAGCACCCTCGCCCCTCTAAGGCTAGTGGGAGAGAGCTGGCCGAGGAAGAAGAGGGAGGAGATTCACCAAGGTTTGTTTTGGGGCGAGGGGGAGGCTAAAGGGAGCTTAGATGTTAAGGGAAGTAAAGTTTTGGTAGTTGATGAGTCCTTTTCCTTTCCAAAAACAATATGGCCCTCATCTTCTTTTTCTTTATTTTTCTTTACCAATCTTCACTGCATATGATGGTTTGTTGACCAAAGAGATAGGTGTCGGTTGAGAGAATATGATCAAATTAATTATAAAATAACTAGTTCATGAATTTGGAGATTAGGGGTGCAGCAAAAGAACTAAAGAAAATGACACTACTAAAAGCTAACAATTATTTAAGTAAATAACAATTTACTTGGATCCTAAGTACGTGGCACCAATACTCATAATTAAGTCAACTTTTTTTCCCCCTTTTAATAAAGGGTTTTTCATTATTATATAAAGAAGTTAAGGAAATAATTGAGTACAATTTTTCATATTTTTTTATTAATTTCTCTGTTCATTATAGTCCCAATATGTTACACACACTTTCCCAGAGTAGAGAACATAAATGCATTAAAAGAAATCAAACTTACAGTTTACAAAAGGGGGACTAATAATATAATAGTAAGCTGAAGAACCCTTAAAAAGTAACAGACATGGTCTTTAATTATGGTAGAAATTGTTACTTTTTATTTGCTTATTCTATGTTTGGATTTATTCAGCTGCAACTTTTTGTATTGTTAACAGCTAATATGAGGTTTAGGTACAGATAATGAAGGATAAAAACCTGATTCTCTTCTTTAATCATTAACAATTTGACCTCATAACAAGGAAAAGGAAATTGCACCATAAAGTATAGCAACTGTATTCCGACTACTGCATAGACGAAGTCTAAGATTTAGACAATTTTATGTCGACTGTCAACTTTCTTATTGCAACACTTCGGTAAATTCATAAATGATTCATATATTTTTGACCCTAAATTTATTGAGAAAACGACTTAGTATTAGCAAAATCCAAATAATGCATTCAAACTTGACATGATTCCCACTCAAGGCTCAAGCCAGTTTCTAAGTAATTTAAGCCTATATGTACTTTACAGCCATTAAATGTATCCTACGAAAGTAGAGACTTACACTTGACCAATACTAAGCCATAAAAACTCATTTCTGTAGTTCCAAAAATGGAAACAAAAGGTTTCTACATTTTATACGAAGTGGAATCGACTACAAAATAACTAGACCAAGTCGATGAATACTTGCATATAGCGGGGGAACAAGGAAGAATTATGAATCTATAGAAGACTAAGAACCTGTTGGAAAATACCAAACCTAATGAAATTTGTGTGTAATTGGTCAAAAATGTGATCCTGTACAGCTAAATTGTTGCAACAAAAGATGAAAACAAATGAGCTATAAATTCAATACATATTCGGGTACAAAACAAATCTCTATGTAGCTATAAACATATAACCTTTTTGTTTTTTCAACAAAGAATGAAGAATAGCTACAAAGATTGTGTCTATAATGTAATGAACAATACCGATCATGCTTTACCCTTCCTCTTTTCATCCAATGCCTGCTTGAAGCGTACACAAAATAATATGAAATTGCAGTCAACAATAGATCACCAATATTATATACTCTCTCACCAAAACCAAAGGCTGGCTTTTAATTACACCAAAAAGATATCTCTAATGCTTAAAACACATTCCAGACGACAAAAAATAGAAATTGACTAATTTAACACTTGCTCCTTTCTGTAGACAATGAAGCAACAATGAAAAAACTTAAAAGCGCTCATCATAAATGTAGTTTCCTTTGTTGAATCTTACTACTTCCCCTTGAACATAACTATCAATTTATTTTATAGTCAAAGAATAGAAAAAAGGACCAGTTTGTAAATTTTAAGCATAGATAAATTCTTTTTAATGGCAGAAAAAATGAAGAGTAATGTCATTTAGCACCACTAGTGTTACACTAGTCTAGGTGACACTAAATGGCATTACATGTAAGATAGAATTAAAAGAGTCACATAATTCTACTTTTAATTGAACATATCACATAATGCCACTTAAATTGATGTTAAAGCACCAATAGTGCTAAATAACATTATTCAATGAAGAATGAAGAACATTATTAGGAATATTGGGTCTAACTCCACCTAATAAAACCGGCTTATTAGGGGAGGATTGCCCTCACCTTATTAAGTGGATCATTTATATTTTCCCAAACAATGTGGGATTCTAATACGCCCCCTCACGCACAGCGTGGACAAATCGATATTGGGTGGCACCCAACATTGCATAATTGGGCCTAGCTCTGATACCATGTTAGGAATATTG